GCTAAGTAACCTGGCTGTTCGGCAGGCTGATTTCATTTTAGTGCTCGGGGCAGATGGGCAGCACAGGGAGCAGGGAGGGAGGCAGCAGCCTCCCTCTCTCTCCATCTCTCTCTTTTTGTCGGAGAGGCCTCAGGTGATGAGCAGTCGTCCCTGCAGCACATCCAGGGGGCCAGGGCTGGGGATACTTGCCTCCCGCAGGGTAGCCAGTGGGCTCAGACTCCGGGAATTTGCAATTTTTAAGAACTTGTGTCATTGTCCTGTCACTATTTTAGACATGGCCAAGGCAAATACCCTTTATCTTCCTTTCAGATCCGTTGCTGGGACTAAGAGTAGGTTTTCGGGTCGAGGTCAGGACAGGAAATAGCAGAGGGTGATGTAATGCCAACCCTATTCAAGTATAACATACCGGTACAACTCCTGCATTGTGCGACAGCATGCCATTACATGGCTGTGCACGGTACAGTGAAGAGTGAACTTTTATAACTCCCCTGAAGGAAATCTTCCTTTCCTTTTAAAATATAATAGTTGTGGCACCTTGGGAGTTTAGGATTTTGGTCATTTCCCCTTCAACAACCATCATGTAAGAGAAACAATCTTAGTAAATTTTAAAAATACTTAAAAGACTAGCTGCAACGTTCATCCAGGGTAAAGTAATTCATTGCTAAGACAAGATAATGTGAATTTTCTTTTTTTGGGGGGCTTTAGTTGTACAGTATGACTGTGTTACTGCTGCTTAGAAAGCATTACAGCAGTGTGAAGGCAAAGTCAGGAGTACTTGGCAGGTGAGGAGCTGCGGCTTGGCTGTTGCACCATTAGGCTAAAAATATTGCAGCCTTGAAACGTCCTGCATTCTGACACATGCTGCAGCAACCGACATGCAAATTCTTTCCTCACCTATCCAAAATAGCAGAAAGCCGCTAACAATCTTGATCAGCTCCTTTAGGCTTAATATAGTTACCACTTGGTCTCATCCTCACAAGTATCTTTAAAAAAAGATACTCGGTAGAGCCCAGTCTCTGCTGAACTTGGCAGCAGAGTTGCAGAGCCTTGAGAGGAAAAATAGTGTGGTGGGTTCAAAATTAACTGTACAGCTCTCACTGGCTCTATTGTCGCCGGGTGTTATTCACACAGCGTTATTATTCTTATTGCTATTGTTGTTATTACTGTTGTTACTACTTCATCATCGTCAGTAGTGACTGTGCTCGCCAAGATAGTGCTGGGACCGATCAGATGATGCATTGTTCCAAGCACAGCACGGGCAGGGAAGAATAAATGCTCGGTGCCGGAGGTGTTTACAGCCTCTAAAGGCAAGGGGAAAGACATCAGGTGGACAAAGAGATATCATGTAAGCAAAGTGGTGATGGCTCCATGACACATTGGTTTGTTTCTGTGGAAGGGTTAGCCAGCTTTAGCTAGCTAAAGGGAAAGAAATTGGAGAGGATAAGGGACAGACGGAGAGAAGGCTGGGGACAAAAAAACACGTGTGCGAAGGGAGACTGAGGTGAAGATGGTGAGGAGCTCAGAGAGGGTCTCTGGTTCTCGCTCTCCCAAGACACCTAACCACTTGTGTCATAAAACTAAAAACCCTAGTTCGTGATTCACTGAAGCTCTTCCTTCCGACTCTGTAACTTCTGAAAATTCAAAGGTTAATGAGCCCAGCGGTGCCCAGACACCGTCTGTGCGGGGGGCTGGACTCTGTTGGAGCTGGGAATCATCAAAATGGGTGCTGCCCGGTTATTTTCCTCTTAGGTGTCTTAATATGTTTCCAGAGCTGTTTAATGGCCCGAGAGAACCTGAGTTGTCTTCTGTGTCTTTCCCTCTCTCACATGTATGCATGTTACTTTGCATTTGAGGGTTTCAATAGACTTCATATCAACGAACTTTCAAAAGAAAATCATCAAGAGACCCAGCCCTTTGGCAGTGCATAATTATCAGACAAAATACAGGCCTTGGCACATAATTGGGTGAAGGAACTTTCCTGCATTTTTAAAAAAAGACTTGTAGTTACAGTGACTTTTCAGTAAGACACAGCTAAACATTTTGCTTAAATGAGAATTACAACCACACAAAGAATGTCACATAGATGCCCCTCTAAAGAAACAACCCCAAAGCAACCAAAACAAAAGCCCCACTTCTCTGAGATTGACATCTAAAGCCAGACCACACAGCTTTGTTCCAGAAAGGTGAGAGATTCTTGAAGTCTTTGAGGGATAGCAAAATATGGGCCACAAATTTGATGCCTGATTTTTGGAAGTGAAATAAGACTTTTGGCTCCCCCTGAAATCAGTGGCAGGTAAAGAGTGTTGCGCAGCTTGCAGAATCTAGTGATTCATGTTGAAAAAGATACAGTGAATTTTCACTGTAAAACAGTGCTTTGAAAATCGGATTCCTCTTCAGAGTCCCACTCCCAGGTTCTGTTTTTCCTCTGTCATCACTGGAGATCAAACCTATCTTTTAGGATGTATGCATTTGCAGTCCCACCTTCAGCTGTCTCCCCCTTCAGGAAAAGGAGTTAGGGCTCAGTGAAGGGTTGGGTCAGTAATTTTCTCCCCCTCCACGTCTTGTGCAGTTGCAGAGATGCTATAAAGCACTACTAGGTCTGGGTGGTTGGGTTTAATACTCAGCTTGCACTCCTTCACAGGTGCAGCCCCAGCATTGCAGCCTAACATGCGCTAGCATCGGAGCCCGCGGTTGCAGAGCGAGGGCTGTATTCCTCCAGATCTTGTTCGGATAGAAAATAAATGACTCAGAGGGTTTAAACTTCTTTAAAGCTTCGCAGTTCACCTTTTCAAATGGCAGAGGAAGTGCAATAAAGAGAAATCAAAGACCTTTTCTTGGTGTTTAAACGGGGAGGCAAATTTCATGAAGGAGCACGAACCTGCATCTGCTTGCTCCAACGGGGTGTCCTAGGACAAATGGCCTCTGAAGAGAAAACTTTCCTTTTCCTTTAATTTTCCAAAACCAACTTTCACACTGCGTGAGTGTCAGAGCAGATGGGAGCCATGCAATCATGTCAAACAGATCACAAGAAAATGAGACATGGAAGATTTAGTTATTTCGAGTAGCCAGGATAAGTTCCTTGTATAGTTTTTAATTCGGCTTTGGTAAGTGGTGTGCTTAGAAGTCTGGGAGTCATTTAAACTGCCCTTAAGTAAACCAAATTGTTCTTGTTTGTTTTACAACTTAAAGGACAAAAAACTCAAAGAACAAGAAAAGAAAGGGGAGATTCTTCACCGTCAGCTCCCAAAGAAAACTGAGAAAAGTCCAGTTTCATATAGACAGCCTTCTTCCTGTCTTATCTCACAGATACAGAACACCAAGGCTCTGCTGAAGGACCGGAAAGTCACCAAGGCTGGAGGTCCGGAGAAAGGTCAGTGGGAGAAATACCGGCCGTGTGTCCCTGTGCGCATGTGCACGCGTGGGCACGCGCAGGATTAGCGAGAGCGTCTTGTGTCTTGTGTGTTTGTTAGTGAATAGTCGTGGGCTTGCATTCTCTGTCTGCTCTGGAGGTGGTATGTGAAAGAGGACTGGATAACGTAGTCAAACATTGAACGAAACGTCCTGAGGAAACCATGACGATGTTCAGAGGTCATGAATCCTCACTTTTACTTCTCTTCTTATTTGACAGAATTCCCACAGTGTTTTTAAAAAACCTAACTTTCCCTATTTGTATGTACTTACACAAAATCATCTGCACTTCACCGTGGCACTTTGAAAGCACCAACACCCACCCCAGATCACTGACGAACCAAAACCGGTAGAGATGATGCTTCCTACCGGTGAATGCGTTTTGCTAAGAGGGGACTAAGGGGCAGCATGGAAAGAAATCCCTGACCCTGAGGAGAGTGCCAGTAACAGTGGCATCCCTGGGAGAAGCAGTGTGCAGCAGCTGATGGTGGAGGAAGGGGAAATAGGCAGCCGAGAGGAAATGCAGGTGGGACTCCCAACCCCAGCAAATTTCAGGCAGCAAAAGGAGGGGGAAAAGCATTAACAGGGGAAGGAAAAGACGAGACAGCCAGAGGAGAGCAGAGCATTAATCACGCAGGGTAGGAGGCAGCCTGGGAGGGATGGGTGAGAGCTGCTCGCAAAAGGAGGCGGAAGAAAGGAGTGGAGGAAAAGGGGAGTCAGCGGGGAAAATGGGGTGTCAGTAGTGCACACGTGGACGGGAGACATTGAGGAGCAGGAAGGTGATGTAGCCGGCTGTTAAATGAGAGAACTAAACGAGGGGAGGTCACTGGAGCACAGCAGGGGGAAATACAGCAATGTAAAGCGTTTACTGTGGTGTCAGGGGGTTATTTAGAGTGGTGGCTTATGGTGGTTTCGTGCTGTTTCTCGTGGCTGGATAATTTATCATTTGATGCTTTCTACCTGAAAAAAATGTCAAAATGGTATTCATCTGGCAGCACAGGCACCTCTGCTGCAAGGTAGCAGTAGTCCAGAGAGCTGGTCAGAAATGGGACATACTTTTTCTGAAAAGTGTAAAAAACATTAAAAAATCCTCATTTTGTTCAGATTTGTTGTTCCTTTTGGGAGGGAGGCACAGGGGGAAGTAAACGTAGTTCATTTTTTTTCCTCTTTAGGTTTCTCCCTGCTTTTTTGAACTGAAACCTGAAAATCATTCAGATCTCAGCTAAAGCATTTCTCTGCTTATGGAAACCGTGTTTTGACACTTCTTAAATGAAGCGGTCAAATAATTTTGACCAGTTTTAGAAAGAAACTAATCACTTTAAACCTGATCTGCTTTTCCCAGACAACTCTCAATGCGAGTGATTTCATCCTGTACATCCATTCAGGTCTCAACCTCTGCCAAGACCATCCCTTTCAAAAGAAATACATGTGATATTTGTGGCTGTGACCTGAGGGCTGGCAGACCTCAATTATTTTATATCCCTTTTAGATGATTTGAGACCAAGGGAACTCGTGGACAATGATTAACTGCCGGTCCGCTATTCTTTCAATTAGGGGGAACCTAGCAAAGCAGGCTCGTTGGACAGCTTTCCATAAAGGCGGCAAAAAGTGGTTTCTTGCGACTAACTTGGCAAAAGCGAGTGCCAGCATCCTGTAGAAACTGAGCAGATCTTCTCCACGAGCTGTTTTGTTTTATTGGGCCAAATTCTGCAAAAATTGTTCCATTTATATTCGGTCCTTGCTGGGGGAAGATTCTCACTGAAGTAGATGCAGCAACTCTGTTCCAACTGTAACAGCCTGAATCTGGCCGGTGCAGCTACTCCATATTTACATGTGTGAAACCAAGAACAGATTTTGTTCCAAAATGCAAGGAAAGACATTAGGGATTAAGTCACTGTTGTCCCCTGTGCCTCTAGGTATGTCAGTGAATACAGTACGCAGACCCAGTTAAAATCATGCAAAGTTGTGCTAAGAAAGGGGAAATGCGAGATTTCTCAGACAGGGCTTTAGAGGATGTAATTAATACAAACAGCTGAAGACAGCTGTGGTTTTCCATTTCATGTCCTTGTCTTACTCAGTTTAAGCACTCTTCCTGCCTTTGAGGAAAGTGGCAGATAAATTACCTATGAAACAACAATGTAAGTATCAAATGAGAGTCAGGGAATTGGGTTCTGAGTATATGCCTAAGACCATGTGTTTTAGCTAGTGCATTTGTCATGCTCTTCTAAAATTTGTTAAAGCACTGTCTGCCGGAAGGCAGAGAAGGCAGTGCTATTAAATGCAATCTGCTCTTCTGTTCCTTTTCTGATTGCTTTGCAGACTCCAGCGGTGGGGTAAGCCCTTTCCACGAACCCCTGGCAACCAAGACGGGCTGCGTCACTTCCAGCTCCCTGGAGTACCTCGAAGTCCAGCAGCCGCCCCCCAGAACCCCTCGGCTCCTCAAGAGGCAGGAGTCTCCGCAGCAGGAGCCGGCCCGCATCGGGGGCCGGGCAAAGGACTCTCCTCTCATCCTGAATATTGTGCACTCCTTCGAGTCGGTTGACAGAGAGGACCAAATAGACCAGGTTTCCCCCTCTCATCAGTACAGGATTTTGGGCTCGCCAATGAATTTCCCTTACAAAAGCTCAAGTGAAAGGACACTGTCCCCGCTTTTTCAGCCAGGGAGTACGTCCCCCATCCACCCCCCCCAAGTCTCTTTCACATATGAAGAAAAAGCATATCCAGCAAAGGAAGAAGCAGTGTCCCCTACTCAGCTGGTTTCCAACAACCCCTTGGGCAGCCCTAACTGTGTTAAAAGCAGAGGCAGATTCCCCATGATGGGGATCGGACAGATGCTGCGGAAGAGGAACCAGACGATGCAGTCGGCGAGCGACAAGCCGCTGGAAGCGAGGATGCCTCAGCTGCAGCAGATGAGCCCCACGCAGATTTCCTTCAATGCAGCAGATGCTGTCAGCGGCCAGTGTTAGTCTGACGTCCCGGGATTTGCACTGCTGTTTTCTGGGACCTAACTTTTTTACTTTTAACAAGAAGGGAAAGCCACAGGCATGTTACTGTCACTACGTAATACACTACAGTGGTCCAACATAGAAAATCAGAGGTCTGCTTGTAAGGAAGGCGTTGTCCTATATTAAAGTTGAAAGAAAAGGGCTCTGCTTGTGCTGTTAAGAAATATTAGCATTTGGCATCTGACTGTACACTAAAACATGTCTTGAAAGAACTACGTGAGTATCTCATCTAGTATTGCAGTAAGGTTGATTGGAAGAGCAGCGAGCATTAATGGTTTGATTCATCAAGGTAATCTGCGTGGTGCCATGAACGCTGGTCCCATCCAGGATCTGTGGTAAGACTGCCCGTGCTCCATCTGCCTGTGCCACACAGTGCATGGTACTGCTGCAGGCATTGTTCACATGGCTAGACAAATGGAAAAACTCAACATACTATGTCCAAAGTGAACTTGCTAACAAGCACTGCCAAGAAGATGAAGTTGGTAGAAGCTTGAATAAAGATACGACGGATCTAAACATTCAGAAGTGGGAGTGTTGGAAGTCAAAGCAGATTTTACAGTTAATTACATAAAGTAGCTAATAACGGAATCATTTTTTCCTAAAGAAAATGATGATTTAATGATGTCACTCGGAAGAAACATGATTATTTAAAAACAAGTTTCATCACTTGGAAATTCACTGCACTAGAGGCCTGTTCCTTTCGTGTGATGGGTCTGCAAGCAGATGCTTCAAACAGTAATCCAGATTGCAACACGCTGTGTTTAAACAATCCAGTCACCTCCGATTTTTGCAGCCGTCCTAGTTCCATGGCACACCTACATGCAGGACTGCATTAGCCTGTTACAGCAAGGCAGCATTGGACACACCTGAAGGCTTTTCTGAGAGACTGCAGTGAATTAAAAAGACTAATAAAGGACACATGAACCTGTACCAATGCCGTTTTATACTGCAAGATTGGTAATGCAGTGGTTACCAAAAATTCAATATTGTTATGAGCGATGAAGATTAGCTTTCTTAAAAGGCACAATGTTCTGCATACCAGTCTTGTTTTTCTAAGTAAATGATACATCTGAGAGGTTGGCAACATTTTTTTGGTTCTGTTTTTGTCTTCAAACCATTTCCTATAAATTAGAAGGTTTAGCCAAAGACTACTCTTTTCTTTCGTCTGTACTGCGCTTGCGTATGTGTTTGTGTGTTTGGGACGTCTCAACAAAGCTTGTTGTGGTCTGGTTCCCAAGCGGGCAGCCCTGGCCCACGTCTGCCCCACTGCTGCCCACCCAATTAATGTCATTTCACAACCCAGGCAGCAGAGGCATCGTCGTCTTCTTGGGGTTGTTGTGGAAGATGGGGATTTTGCCTCGTCAGAAGGAATCCAAGCCCTATTTTCATCAATATTTTTGCAAACAATTTTGTGGCCCCATTGGTTTGGTGTCTGTGCAAATGCTGAGAGTTACCCCTGTTTGAGAAGCTTTCCTTCCAGTTTCATAAGAGAGATACACAGGAACTGGGGGAGGAGGGCCAGCAGAGGCAGGGGAGAAGGTCCCCAGCAGAGCCCTTAGCTGAGCGCATGTTCCCGATTCTCAGCATGGCACAGGCCTTACACCAAAATCTGCAAGAAAAAAATTGGACATTAATCCAAATACTGACAGAACAAACGGGACTGTTCAGTATTTTGAATGCTTGCTGGCAAAACCAGCAGAGCGTGAATGCCCAGAGCGCCCTTCTCATCCCTGCAGCTGGGACCTTCACCTCGGCACTGAAGCTGCCCATCAGTTTGGTACAGGGGAGTCCATATGCGTCTTGTACTCTTCGGTGTAGTGGGGGCACCCACCTCTGGGGCAGTTAAGCTACCTGTAAAATAATATACATAAAACTCCCAATATGATAAGAAAGACAGCCCCGAAATAATTTTACTAATTTTCAAACTGAAAAATGTCATTTTCTGTTTGTAGAGAGCACCTTTGCATCCCAGGGGTCCATTTTAGCTCTTCCTTTCGTTTAAAAACATCAAAGCATTTTCTTTTTCTTCATGCTAAGCACATGTTTGCGCTGCAAAGCTAGGAAGCAGGGACCACTGAAATCCCGTCTTTGCATGCGTTGGACTTGCGTACCTGAACAGATGGCAGATACTGACTTGAATTACAAACTCAGGTTTATTTGGAACCCAATAAAAGGTTGGGGGAGGCAGGAAAGAGACATGTATTTTTTGTGAAAACCCAGTAAATATGTGTAAGAATCAGAATGAAAACAGAAATGTTAAATCTTTTATTATATTTATAGAGAATATATGAGTATGACACTGCTAAAACATAACCATGTATCCAGCTTAGACAGTAGCTATGTACAGTCAAACTGCAGTGACCATAGAAGGGACTTAATGAAATACAGTAGTGGAAATTCCAGGGGAAAAAATTGTATTTGTTATCATTATTAAATATATGTACTTTTTGAACAAGATTGCCATGGACTGCTGACTTTGTTTGCCAGGTCACTGTGCAGGAAGGATTATCTAAGTACAAAAACAACTGGCAAGACGGTGAGGTGACAAGAAGATGGCCAGCACTTTTACCTTCACCCATCAAAGACCATCCCTTTGAATCTGGCTGCTGACTTGGCTATAAACCCTGAGTGAGCTAAAAGGCACAAGGTGGGATTTCCCTTGCTTAGTATTAGCCCTCTGCAAGTTGTGCGTCTTGTCTCTGGTCATTATCCAAGCTCTGTTTGTCACAAGTGGAGGCTGATAGGTATCTCCAGTTCTTCCCACCTTAAAACAGCGGTCCAGAATGATGGGAATTAATTGCTCTTCAGCAATGAGTAGCTGATACAAGGGAGGGAATAGGGTCGGCCAGTTCAGATGAGAACCCAGCTTTTAGACAGCCATAGGAAGTCACCCCAGTATGAACAAAAGCATTTGCTGATCAGCCTCTGGAGTTAACGTCTTCAAGTTGTAGGGACTAGTCCTACCTTTGTTAAGCTTGGCACAGCCATGCAAACTAGTGATCAGCCTTGCAGCTTCAGTTGGAGCATTTCTGTTGTTGTTGATCCCACAATTGTTGTAAGTACTGTTTCTTCCTCCTACCTTTGTACAAATCTGTTTCCTAGAACAACCGATCCCAAGACCTCCAAAATCAGCTGAGGTCTTTTTCTAGTGTTTGCAATAAGGCTTGGCACCGAGCCCGTGATGAACTTGTTTGATAGAGCTGAAAATACGCCTTGCCCTTCGGGTTGTGCATTGGGGAAAAGAGCACTGCTGAGCTTTGGATGCAAGATGGAAGCACCATGGCTTTATGGGGCCTTTCTGAGGAGCTGTTTACGTGCAGAACCCAATGGAGTCAATGGAGCAGCTGTGAAGCACTTCAAGAGGGTTTTGCAGACTAACTGATCACTGGACAGCAGTTCAGGATCCATAGTGATAAAGCGATTTTGTTTAGGCTCTTCTGCCTGAAAAAATAGGTGTCAAATTTATTCAGCAAGACAACACGAATCGGCATCTGTTGCGAAAGGTGTTGGTCTTGGTACTTGTCCTGTAAATGGGCTGATAAATATTAAAATTCTCGAGTATCTAGGTTTACAAATCCTAAAAGTAAATAACAGCTACTTTCATACTTTCACACTTGACATCACTTGATCTTTTGCAGTGTGCAGCTGCAAAATGGTTGGGTCGGGTTTGCAGGAGACTTTTAAGTCTCCAGTGAACCAGTAAGATGGTTTCTCAGCCGCTCCCCAGCGACAGCCCAGCACAAATCTGCCCAGACCAGCAATGTGGCTGTCGTAATGTGGCTGTCGTTAACGTATGGAAGAAGAGAAAGAAGAGGGTAGAAAGACTCAGTGGCCAGTATAGCTTTGCAGTACTTCTGCCGGGCAGACTGTGTGTCAGTGGCAGAGCATGGGTAAACTCTGGGCGCGTTGCTGGGTCTAGGGCTGCTGCTTGTGGTAAGGGAGTTTTAGGGTGGCACGGATACGCCCCCTCCACAGCTGGTGTGACAAAAACCTCCAACCCAAGACGAAGCTGCCGCTTTATTTGTTCATTTGTAATTAAGCTTTGAACTTTACTGTTTGAAGCACCCCAAGCTCGTAAGGGCCTTGCTTATCAAGAAGTACGCAGAAATTTCAGGGATGCTGTTGCTGTGTGCAGTAGTTTGGAGTTTGCCTGCCTCTTCCCTGCTTTTTTAATGCTCGGTGGTCGTTTTTCTCTTTTGTTTTCCCCTCCACATAGCTTCCCTGGAGCATAACAAAACTGCTGGGTACAGCACCGGGGCCTGTTTTTCCTATTAAAAAGTTATCATAGCTCTGTGGACTGAGAGCTACAAATCACGCACGTGCAGAAATGCAGCCGTGTGGCAAATTCATTACTAGGTGTGACTCCTACGGTCTTTCAGCAAGCTCCCTGCCTCCTGGTTATGAGACTTGTTTGCATCGGAGGCGGTCTCAAGCAGGAATAACGTGGGGGAATACTGGAAGGGTGTTCAACTGCATGTCATCGCTTCTCATTGAGAGAAACGTGCTCCCTCAGAAGTGAGTGAGTGTCTTATTCGCAGCAGGTTTTCCGTCAAGGGAGCTGCCTGAGCATTGGTTCCTAAGCCACGTACATTGGTGTGTGTTTCCCGGGACATGTTTGCATTGCCTGTAATTGGCTTTCACAAAGATGGCTTGCAGATGTATGTGGGGGGAGACAGGTGAAATAATTTTGAGTCTTTTCCATCTTTAATATCAAAAGAAGCCCGTAATATGATGCTTTCTGTCACTGAGGTACAGGCAATTAGCTGTTGTTAGAAACAAAGGGCATCAGGGTAGAGCCCAGAGCAGGATTTGGAGTTCACCTGAGCATCTCTGCTGTCTGCCTGCTGATGCCAGGGCGGTGAAATGCCCAAGACAGAAGAAATAAGAAGAGGTTTACTGGTGAAAGGTGAGGTGCTAAACTTGTTTTAAAATTTTGGCTAATATCTAGAAACAGGACTACT